TAGAATAAAGTCCCTCTTTTCGTTTCTGTACCTTATGTGAGAAGTTTGCTGTAGATTTTGGAGCTTGGTGTTTTCTGGTCGTTTTGCACCACTTCAGTAATTTCATTTGCTGTTACTCTATTACCCTTAGGGAGCTGCTGCTTTGTTTTGCATGGTAAAGCTCACAGCATTCCCAGTCTTCATTGCCTTTGCAAGCAATGCCTGTCTTGCCCAGGCTTCAGCACTGCTCTGTTTACAAAGCTGATTTACAACTTACAGTTCTCTAGCTGCAGCTCTCTTGGATGGTTTCCTGTTCCTCTCTAGGCTGAGCTGGTTAACAGCCTTTGTGTCTGCCTTTTAATTGCCTTTGCAGCAATGGTGGCCATTGCCTTCTGCAGTCCCTCAGACATGAGCTTCCATTTCTGGCTGCTGTTTTGATCCTGACCTCCAGCTCCCCTCAGGCTGAAGCAGAGTTAATTCCCTTCTTCCCCTTGCCCTGTTGAGTCTGTTTTCCTCTTTTATCCACATGCACTGTTCAGTACTTAAGCCGTGAGTGTTGCAGCATGTGAGCCAGATGAACCCACCTGTGCTTAATCTCTTCTCTGCCACCACTTGGGTGACATTTCACAGGCTACATTGCTCTTCATGATGTATTGTAGATGCTACATCACAAATCACTCCTTAGACTTCCTGCACAGCTTTAAATCCTCACATTTAGTCGCGATTCAAAATGTTTTCTTTCCTCTTTGTTTCCTGGGAAGTTGGTTCTTGGGGAATATATAGATTCTGTCTCCAGACAGCTGTTCTGCACTGGACTTTAAACTGAAGGGTAGAAATCATCCTTGGGATTTAAGTCATGAATTAGCTGAACTTTAATCTGAAAGACAAATAGCAACCTTGCGACAGCTGCCCCATCCCTGGAAGTGTTCCCGACTAGATCACATGAGGCTTGGAGGGTAAGGTGTCCTGGCCCATGGCAGGGGGTGGGATGGGATGAGCTTTAAGGTCCTTTTAACCCAAACCAGTCTGGGACTCTGTGATTCTCTGTTTGGTAGAGCAGGTGAATACTCTGTTTAGCTCCTTCCTGAGTTGCCCTGACAGCTGTTTGTACTCTCAGCCACCTGCACTCAGCTGTGAGGAGGTGCACGGCGCAGCACCTGTCCGACATCGTGGAGCGCATGGGCCCCAAGCGCATCCTGGCCGGGTCCAAACCTGTGGCTGATCGGCTTCTCCCGGCCACAGCCAGGTTTGCCCAGGACAGCTCCCAGCAGACACGGTGAGTGCGTTTTAGGATAAGCACATTGCAGGGGGCTGGGAGCTGTGCTTGACTTTCCAGGTTGGAAAAGACGTCTAAGATCAAGTGCAACCATCAGCCCAGCATCACAACCATGTTTACCACTAAACCATGTCCTCAACTGCCCCATCCACATGATTTTTTAACACTTCTAGGGATGGTGACTCCACCACTGCCCTGGGCAGCTGTGCCTGGCCTGGACAGCCCTTTCCATGTGGAAATGTTTCCCATTATCCAACCTGAACCTCCCCGGCACAACTTGAGACCATTTCCCCTTGTCCTGTCCCTTGCTCCCTGGGTCTGCCTGACCCCACCTGGCTGCATCTCCTGTCAGAGAGTTGCAAAGAGCCGAAGGTCCCCCTGAGCCTCCTTTTCTCCAGGCTGAGCCCCCACAGCACCTTCGGCTGCTCCTTGTGCTCCAGACCCTTACCCAGCTCCATTCTCTTCCCTAGACATGATCTTCCTGCACCTTTCTATTTTGGAAGGACAACTCTAATGACAAGTCCTAAAGCACATCCCTGTTTGTGGCTGAGGATGTCATGCTCTGCTCCCCTGCAGATACTATGGTCGGAGGATGCTCTTCAGCATGATGGCTCACCCTGACTTTGATAGAACCCTGAAGAAGTATGTGCCAGCCAAGGATTTGCCTTACATCAAGGAAATTGTTGGCAGCCTACGGGCGAAGGTGTGTGCAGAAGCTCTTTGTTAGCAGCTGGGACAGGGAAAGGTGTCCTAGGGCCCTTGGATGTCCCTAGTGAATGGGGAAGGTGTCCTAGTGGCCCTCAGATGTCCCTAGTGAATGGGGAAGGCATCCTATGGGGCATCACATGTCCCTAGTGAATGGGAGGAGTGTGTCAGAGGAGAACAGGTGAGCAGGTGACTGCAGCAGGGCAAGTGCTGCTTGGTGGCTAACCTGGGCTCACCTGTACTCCCCACACACACATGGATGACAGGTACTGTGCTGCTCTGCAGGCACAACTGTCAGACACCTTTGACAGGTCTCAGCAGTGCAGGACTGATCAGCCATGTTAATTACATGTGAATTAACGTTGTACCTTTTTGCAGGGCCTGGGGGAGATGCCATTAGACACACCCTCAGCAAAAGGGAGACGTTCCCAGACTGGCAGTGTGGGACATCTAAGGTCATCATCCACTTCCAGAGATACTCTCAATGTCCCTGACAGGTAATGACCTTCATTGTTACCCAGGAAGTATAGAAACATCCACACAGGGCTGCAGACAGTAAACGTACCTGAAGGAAAACTTGCTAAGTCCCAAATAAACTCTTAAATAGGTGACTGGTAATTTCAAAATGGCTTTGTGCATTTTGAATGTAATTTGTCTATCAACTGGCTATGAAATACATCCAGTACACAACCCACTTGGAATTCACAGTATGGAATTTTATGAACTGGAAAAGAAACACTCCCAAATTTAAAGCAAGCCAGAAACTGCATCCAAGAATACAGAGTTCAGGGGGTCTGTGACTGCAGTGTGTCTGTTCAGGAGCAGATTTCTTTACCACACCCTCCACAATACAAAATAACAACTAGTTCCACATTTGATGATGAATTTTGATTACTTATTCCATTCTCCATCCAAGATTTTTGTTCAGGAATTAGGACTGAGCTAGTGACTCTGGACTGCTCTGTAAATACTTACCTGAACAAAGAAATGATCCCACAGGTTTCATAATTCTTTTCATGACTCTGAAAAGATCAGATGCCACAGAAAATTTCTTCTCAATACTCTTAGAAGAGTTGTTAGTTTCCACCTCAGCATGGTGTGTGGCTGAGGTGCCACTGAGCCTGGGATCAGTCTTTGGAGTACTTGGGGAATAAAGAATTAAAACACTCTAAGTTCGGGGGTGGTTTTTTGACCCTTTGGGGGTGTTTATTCACCCATTGATGTGGGGAAAGTTCCTAGCTGTTCCTGGTCACATCCCCATCTGCTTTTGGAGCAAAATGGATGTGAGACTTCAGGAACAACAGTTACCATTAGGTGATGTATTTATTTTTAAATCACCGTGTTTAAAGTGAAAGGTTTTGTTTCCTTCTGATACTTGGACTTACATGGTGAGAAGTTATCTGGGATGAGGCTCCTGTTCCACCTTGTTTCAGTGCTCACTGAACAGCAATTGCCTTCCCCTCAGGGACACCAGAGAATCCTGTGAAGTCCCAAGGAAAGCAGCCCCTCGGAGTGCCCTGGAGAGTGAGGAATATGTCAGGGATATTATTGCTTTGCTGAATGCCAAAGACTTCCGTGAGCGAATTAATGGCATCAAGCAGCTGCTGGCGGACACCGAGAGCAATCCAGGCCTGGTGGTTGCAAACATTGTGAAGGTAACTCTGGGAAAAGGTTGGATTTCAAAAGCATTTACAGTTGGGTCACAGTTTTCTGGTGAAAATCTTGGCTCTCTCTAAGAATGATTAACAGAGAGTATTGAGGGGAGGTCTGTGTGAGTAGCAAAGGGAGTAAAGGAAGTGAATAAGATGGAAAAGCTGGAAGTTTTCACTTAGAAACTATTGTCCATTGATGGGAATGGTTTGAAACCTTTCAAACACTCTCTGCTAAACAGAGCCATGTCTGCCAGATTGGATTGGAAGGGATATCAAAGACTATCTCATTCCAGCCCTCCTGGAGCTATCAGAGCCATCTTTTGCCAAGATGTCCTTCCCACCTCTCACAGGAATTGCTAATTCCATGGCTGCTGTTTGGGTGCTTTTCCAGATCTTTGAAGCCTTCAAATCTCGCTTACACGACTCCAACAGTAAGGTGAACCAGGTGGCTTTGGAGACCATGCACAAGATGATTCCACTGCTGAAGGACAACTTAGCCCCTGTCATCAACATGTTAATTCCTGCCATGGTAGACAACAACCTCAACTCCAAAAATCCAGGGATTTATGCAGCTGCCACAAATGTTATCCAGGCTCTATGTCAACACTTAGGTAAGTAGTTTCCTCTCTCAATTTGAAACAGTTTTAATTGTAACAATTCTAAATTGAAAGTGTTACCCTTACCAAGAGTGTCATAGAATTATGTCACTGTGTAACATATCATAGAGTTTATTCTACACTCTTCAAGCCACACAAGTCATCTTAATATTTTGTCAGGAGGTGGTTTGGTTGTTTTTCCAGAGCAGGTGGTTTCTGTGGGGAAGGTTCCCAAGCACTGGCACAGGTTGCCCAGAGCAGCTGTAGCTGCTCCATCCCTGGGAGTGTTCCAGGCCAGGTTGGATGGGGCTTGGAGCAACCTGAGCTAGTGGCAGTGTCCCTGCCCATGGCAGGGGGTGGGACTGGATGATCTTTAAGGTTCTTGCAACCCAAACCAATCTGAGATTCTATTAGGAATATGTTTTTATGCCTTTAAATCTATCAGTGTGATCTTTGGAGTTACTGTATCATAAATAGGGTTCTTATTTACATTTTTTCCATATTGTGTTTATTTCCATGTGGTTTAATTTTCCATTTAAGAATGTTAACATGTTTTGTTCTTTGCATTTAGACAACTCTCTGCTTCTCCAGCCCTTCTGCACAAAGGCTCAGTTCCTGAATGGGAAAGCAAAGCAGGACATGACAGAAAAGCTGGCAGGTGAGGTGGGGCTGGCTTTGCATGCTTGTCTGGGGAACATCCTAATTAGGGAAATTAATTGCAGGAGGGTGTGGCTATAAATCTTCCCTTCTGTCTTAGCAGATTGTGGGCATTAATGATGCAGCCGTTGTCACATTTCACCCCTCTAATGTAAATTGAAGCTGTTGCTGACAAAGCAAAGGGTGATGATGATTATTATTTAGTCAGGTGGAAGATATATAAATACCTGGAATGTATAAATATATATAAATATCTAAGGGGTTTAATTTAAATACCTTAAGTTTGTAATAATTTTATTTTAGTATTTCCTCTCCCAATGCTCATTCCCTCTTGCTGGGACTCTCAGACTGGCTTGGGTTGGAAGTACCTTAAAGCTCATTCAGTCCCACCCTAGCCATGGGCAGGGACACCTTCCACCAGCCCAGGTTGCTCCAAGCCCTGTCCAACCTGGCCTGGAACACTCCCAGGGATGGAGCTTCTCTGAGCAACCTCTGCCAGTGCCTCACCACCCTCACAGGGAGGAATTCCTTGAGTGGGGCTGAATTTCCATCTTTTAGGTAAACAAGGAATGTCTTTATGAGCAATCTGTTTGAAGCAAACATGTGTTTTGGCTTCCTTTCAGAGTAGTTCTGTGGGAAATGGAACTAAATAACACAATGCACAGTCTGTTCTGGAAGTATCCCTAAATTTATGCTTTCTGAGGGTGTTAGTCACCAGCCCTGAAACAGTTCCTCTCTTGCAGGGATTTTAGGGAGTCATTTGTGTTATAGATCCAAAGAGTCTATTGTGGCAGAAAGGGAAACCTTTGCAAATGAAATGCTTAATTCATGCTTGAAGGTCTTTTCCAGCCTAAAGCATTCTGAGAGGTAATCGTCCAAGCAGGGAAAATGCTTCAGCTTTTATATATTTATATTCCATATATACTCTGTGCAAGGGCCAAAGTTGGACTGGATGATCCTTGTGGATCCCTTACAGCTCTGGGTATTCTATGGCCCTATAGATTATATGTATTTACATATATAGTAGAGATATATATGCATATAAGTGTGTATATATAGGTATTTACATCTGTATTATAGACATCTATGTTATATATAATGTATTTATATGTACACATGTAAATATATATGTTTAGTTAATTAATTACAGTACAAGGCAACTTTATTCCTTAAACTGCTGCATATTTCTGGGCTGGAGGGGAAATTGTGAATTCCAGAGGTTACACTGTGGGCAATATAAGTCCTTATATAAGAATCCTAACTCAAAAAAACCCCTAAAACCTCCTTTGTTTTTTTCACTGTTTTTTGTTTAATGGACAGTTGTAACTATCAGCAGCACCAGTGCCACTGTGTAAAATCTTGGAAGAGTCAAAAGGAGTGATAGTAGGGAAACCTGGCGGTTTTGTGGGAGCACTGATGATGGAACACAATGCTTCACCAGCAGTTTGAAATGATTTAAGTACTTTATGAGAATCCTAACAAAAATAAAAAGCCCTAAACCCCCCTTTATTTCTTTCACTTTGTTACAATTTTCCATAACCTTAAAACATCAGCAGCATCAGTGCCATTGTGTACAGTCCAGGGAGAGGCTAAAAGGAGTGATGGGAGGGAAATCTGGTGGTTTCACGGGAGCAACACGAAGCTGTTGTGTTCAGCAGCTGCTGCCGGAGATAATTTAAGTGCTTGAAACGCCTCTCGGAGCCTCGCCTCGCGCTGGAGCTGTGTTTTAACGGCGGGTTTTGTCTCTCGCAGAGCTGGTGTCGGAGCTGTACCCCCGCAGACCCGGCGCGGTGGAGCAGAAGGTGCTGGCCGTGCTGTGGCACCTGCTGGGCCCGGCGGGCGGCAGC